CCATAGCATTTATATAGAATTATTTTTGTACATAGTAACTCCATGAAGTTACTAACTTTAAAAACTACCAATAAAGAAATAAGCAAGGCCTCACCTTAACATCAAAAAAAAAGTAAAGTCTATGCTTAAATATATAGTACAACTACCGTATAGAGACCAGTGATGTAATCCAGAGCTCTAACCTAACATTCTGATTACATGAACCAAGTCTTCTATATCTCAATAGTACTTTTAAACATATATTTGTATTTTGTATATATTTGTAAATCTGTTTTTTAACAATTTAATATTAAGAACTAGTAATTATAGTAATATACAGAAATAGATTAAACTTTTTTATTGCTTTTTTTATTTTATTCTTTATATTTATGTATTTTAATTTATTTTAAACATGTTCAAAATAAGATGATTGGTTCTATAATTATTATCTTGTTTATATGGAAATCATGAGCTGAAAACTAATAAATTGACAACTCTTATTTTTTTTTGATTATAGAAAAAATATTCTTCTCTAAATATTAGGTAATAAATTTTTAACTGTGCTGATTATGTATAGAATTGAATGTAGAGAATTCAATTCACATATTATAGTTTTATAAAACATATTATTTTAATGTTAAGGGTTTTAATTCATTTGCCATGAATTTATCAGACCAAAAGTTCAACTATAATGTCTTACGAATCTGATCAGAGCTTGGTTATAAATAGAGGTAAGAATATAAGTTTATTTCTGTTGACATGTTATGATTATAATGATTATAAATTTCTTGAATAAATGCATTTAATTTATGACAAAGTTTATAAACTATACAATATTTTTATAATAGATAAATCAATGACTCCAACAAATGATAATGATTTCAAATTATATAAATAATAAGAGGCATGAATAATCTCTTATCAATTGTTTTGACTTTAATAAAAAGTTCCTAATAATTACCTCTTTTTTATAGTACTTCGAATAATACATTAGGAATTTCTATAGCTAAAAACAATGGTTTATTCGATAAACCTTCTAGTACAGAATATAAACAAGATTTATATAGAAGAGCTATAAAGAAACTTAAGATTACAAAATCTTATAGTAAAAAGAAATGTAAATTATCATTATATTTTAGTTATATATGAGAATATATAATTTTTAGAATTTACTAATTAAAGCTATCTATGTAAGTACCTTTGATTTTGAACAAGCAAAAATACAAAGAACCTTTTTTGCACAATAAAATTATTTATTCAAAGGAAGAATTGAAAGAAAAATTGAATAAAGATAACATGATTTATGATTATAGTATGTGTATAAATTATAACATTTCCAATAAAAATTGATTGTTTATTTTGATACAATATCAAGTTATTAAAGATTTGAATAATTGAAACATTCTACTAAGCAAGAATTGTACCAATTTGAACAATAAATTGAATGAAGAGAAAAGATTAAAATTTGAGACAATGTTGTTACATGCATTACAAGATCTAACTCTTTGCGAAGAATTAAATAAAAGTCTAGAAGGTAATATGATTTATGATTATTGTATGCATATAAGTTATATTATTTCTAATAAATTGGTTGTTTATTTTGATACTGTATCAAGTTTTTAAAGTTTTGAATAATCAAAATATCCAACTAAACCAAATTTATAACTATTTGAATAATGAATTGGATGAAAAGAAAACTTTAAATTGGTAACAATTTTGTTACCTGATTTACAACATTGAACTCTTCATGATGTATATAAATTGGGGTTATAATCAAATACTAACAAATACAATTTTTTTGCATTTTTGTGATAGCCATTAGATTAGGTTACACAAAGTTGATTTTTCATTTTGCATTACCTAACTAACCCTTTTTTTTCAATTTTTAAGTGCCAATTGTGTCAATTATTCGATTTTTGCCATTTAATTTTTTTCGACCAAGACCTTAATTTTCCAGAGTTATTCGATAGGACTGACTGAAAATTTGTAATCTATGTAATGCAAAACTAAGAATCAACTTTGTGTAGCCTTATGCTGTTAGATTATTTTGATTTCATTAGAAGTTCTTTTTATCTTTATTTAAAAGTTCAAAAATAAATAAAAAATCTGTAAGAATTGCACATGATGTTTAACAATATTCTAAAGTTAATTCAACAAAATATTAATTTATAAGTTATCTTGCTATAAAAGTTCTTCATATTTGAATTGTAAAAATCCAGCTATATAAAAAATTAGGAAAGTCAGTAAAGCACAATATGATTATAAATATGGAATCATCAGTAAAAATAATGGTACGGTGGTCTGAATAACCTCTAATGACATGTTTCTTTATTTATTTTTTTTCTTAGAAAATTATAAAAGCACCCAAATACTATCTGCATGCAAATTTGAAAAATAGGATATAATCTGTTAAAACATTTTGATCTTATAGAAATTAAACATTCAATTATTATCAACTTTAAAGTTTACAAAATGAATTGCATTATCAATTTTCTCATCCAAGTTTTTACAACTATTGCACTTTTATTAATAGTATCTGCAATAATTATTACTCAAGACAAATCAGGTAAATTAAACTCGAGACTAGAGTTAATGAATTTTGGATTCAAATCTTTTTGATTGAATACATTGAATTATAGCTATAATCTTTACTCCTACAACTATTGAAATTATCAAATATCCAAAAAATAAAAATGAAACAATATCAACTTAAGAAGTAATTGAAACTGCTAAGATCATGAAATTTTTGGTTATGGCATTAATTTACTATGCAAAAGTGCTTTTTTATTATTGTAAAGAGCAGATTTCATTATTTTTTATGAGTTAATTTTAGCAATACTAAACCAAAACATCTTTACTCAAAATCTAATAAATCTTTTATTAAGTGACAAGGAGTTTTTTTTTCTAACTACCAGTTTTGTGATCCTCATCTAACTACTTTGATAGTAATATTTGGATATTAAGCTTTTTTTATGCCTTATTATTATTATAGTATTAACTTCTACAGTAACTTATCAACTAATCAATATACTATTTGAATTAGATTGATCCATTTATATTAACCAATGATGCGATATTTCGCTTCATAAAATCAGGATTTATAGGACATATATTTTATTTGTTTTTTTTTTGTCTGTTGTAATTTATTATTAGTCAATAAACTTACAGAATAAATTTTATTATCAATTTTCTCAGCAATAATTGTCAATTAATGCAAGCAGATAAATTACACTTATAGTATAATATTTACTTATAAAAAAGTTGAAATTATTGAATATTCAAGAAGTGATAATAAACCAATTTTAACTCAAGAAGTAATAGAAGCTACTAAGATCATGAGGTTTTTGTATGTTTTAATTTATTATGCAAAAGTACTTTTTATTATCCCTTAAACTGTTAATTTAACTACATATCTACTATGATTTAGACTACTATTCAATATAATTTGATAGCTTAATCACAGATCAATTATGAAATTTACAGGCAAATTTGCCTAGAAAACAGTTTAAGAAATAGCAAAGAGTAATTTTCATAATTCTATAAGAACATATTCTAAATAATTAATATAACAGATTATGTAAACTCCTTTATAATGTATGTATTATAATTTTTTAATCATAATTTGGCATCATTATTTCATGATCAAAATAATTATACATTTGTAAAATAGTTGACAATATTATAAATTGAATTAATCAATGAGACAAATTGATTCATTATTTGTACATGTAAGAAAAATCTCTGTTAATATCAAAAATAGACTGCAAAATTTTAATTTAATTATTAATATTAGAATCAATTGGTATGAATAAAAATATTATTATAAACACATAAAAATAAACATAGAAGTACAAAGTTTTGGATAAGTAAATGTATCTGCATGTATATTCATATTTGTATCTACACAATTATTGAAGTTAGTTTGTAAATCTTGACTTGCAGACAAAGAATTTTGAATGACATTAGCAAGTAGTACTTGAGATGATAACAGGTTTATGTTGTTGTTATTTTCAATTATAATCTTGATTTGGAGACTAACATTAATTACTTGATCAATAGAGTAGTTGTTAATTATTTGGAGATGTTCATTATGGTTATTAGAATTAGATTGCAATAAAGGTTGATACTAGATATTAGGTTGCAATTGCTGATTTTGGAAAATAGAACATTGACAAAGAAGTTAATACTGATCAAAAGGTGGTATTTAATAGAAATTACGTTAGTGGTTCTGGACATTATGTTGATGTAATATATGATGCTAAGGATGTTAATAAGGAGGGTTTTGATAAGAAATAATTTCAAAACTATTCTGTCTATTCAGTGATAAATATTGCAATGAATTATTACTATATTCCAAACAAAGCTTACATTGGCATCCTAGATTAAATTCCCAGTTGTCATCTGTTCTAAATAGAAAGGTTTGAGCCATTTTTACTAAAATAAAAGATTCTCAAGTAGTGAGAAAAAACTGAAGTAGTTTATGAACAGATTTATATATTCTCAATGAGAATCAGTTTTGGCAAATAATTTGAAGATTAAATATTTATGTATATGTAATGATCTATTTTTTTTTCAGAATCATGTAAGATTTTTACCTTGATTCTAATAAAAAAAACTATTATAAAAAGCTTTGAACTACTACAAGATTCAGTTAACAAACTCCTTAATTTTAATAGTGTCATGTGAATTTCACTTCATTAAGATATTACATAAACTTCAAAAAAGAAGGAATTCAATGAATCATTGACATAAGAAGTCAGTTAATAGACTTGATAGTTTTGACAGAATTACATATAAGATAAACTTTTCAGGCCTCAGAATCACGTGTGTTTCAGTAAAAATATTATGTTAAGGTGTTGCACAAGCCTTATTGGGAAAACTGTACAAGAAATCAGTTGATAGATTTGACGGAATCTTTATGTAAAATAAACTTAATGACTTCAGAATCATGTGTTTTAGTAAAAAAATCACTATTATATACTGATTAAGTCTAATATGAATTTAAGTCATATAGCTTTTTTTGTACTTTAAAATTTATATTGACCTAACAAACTCTCTGTTGTATAAAAATCAATTTTGTTTGCATGATGCTCTAAAAAAAGGTTCGAAAATAATTGATTAAGAGATTATTTTTTGAATTATACAATATCAATATCAAGCCAAATTTGGCACCAACCAACCATTAATATTAATATAAATATTACTCTAATTTTAAATTCAATGCTGGTTTTATATAATGCAAAATTGTAGAAATTACATGATTTTCATAAAATTTATTTTATCAATATATATTTATAAACTGGTTTTTAAAGATCTTAATTTCAAGAATGAAAACTGGATTACATTATGCATATATAATGATAACAGATAATATAGCAATTAACCAACAATATATTCTAAGATCTTAATAACCTGATTTATGCCAATCATACTAGTCGACCAAAAATTTGTTAGTCAACCTAGTCCGGTCAAATTGGTCAAATGATTTAGTCTATTAAATAAATAATTTTAATATGTATACAAAATAAATATATATAAATATATATAAATTTATATACATATACATATATATACTATATATTTTAAATATTTTTTGACCAATTTGATAAATACCAAACCCTTTGACCAACTGATCAAATTGGTCTTGTCAAGCTTGACCATTGACTGGTCCATGTCAACCCTAATAATATGAAGCATTAGTCTACACCAAACCTTACTAAAGTGTTCTAACCCAAAGTTAATTCGATAAAATATTAAATTATATAAGCTATTTCTGCTTTAAACGTTTTCTATATTTGGATTGTAAAATTCACCCATATGAAAAATTAGTAATTTTTTGATTCTTGTCTATGATTATTACAAACTAGATCAGTTGTAAACTAAATTTAGCAGATCTGTTGAAATTTGGTATCAGAAATAAGCAGAGCATGAGTGAAAATTTTTGCCATAATCAACATAATTTTTGCAAAATGAATGTTTTTTTTAATTTGCTAATTAATGTCAGCAAATTACGTGTCCAAAAAATCGATTCTACACCTAATATAGCCAAATGAAGTAGTTTTGAAAATATCTTTATTTAAAATTTTCACAATTTAAATTCTTAGTTATAAGAAAAAAGAACAAATACCAAAAACTTAAAACTTATAAGAAAAAACTTGAATTTCTCTAATAAAGAAACAGACATTATTTGCTAGTGTAAAATTTAATAAAACCAAAAATAGTGCTAATAATTGTAACTAAATTCTCTATTAACCTTAAATGTAAATCAAGGTTTTTATTATTATCAGCAAACTCATAATATAAGACTGAGATTTGGTTGTTCAAAAAAAATCCTAATAATAAAATTATCTTAAATATAATAAAAATAAAAATAATGCACTTATATTTTTTTGGGTTATAATTATTATTGATAGCAATTTTTACACTCTTATCTTCAGTTCATGTAGCAATACTTTCAATTCAGTGATTGCTAAAAATGCTTATACAAACTTGACAATCATAATTTTAAAGAACTTGACAAATACAATTTTCAATTTCTTGTTGATCAGTCAAATTTGGAGCTTGAGATGTAAATAATAACTGTCTTTGAAGGTTATTATTGTTTTGGATATTAGCTTGCACAGAAGATGGAGGAGGTTGAGCTTGAGGTTGAGTTGTGAACTGCATAGGTGGATGTGTTTGATATTGAATGTATCCAATACCATGAGTATCATTAACATTAGCATGTTTAATATCGTGAATATTATTAACAACATGAGGCAACATGTCTTGAGACATAGAGATATTCTGGTTTTTGATTTCTGTAAATTGATCAATATTATGACTCAGATTATTAGCCAAAGCTTGAAAAGTATCATTAAATTAAAATATTTAATTCTGATATTGAAGGAATTAAATCAGATAGATTAAGGGATTGTTTGGTAACTGGTTTGACTGCTTACTTGTTCCATTCCTTGATGAAAGTGATTATGGTAATTGTCTTGTACTAATTCTTGACTCGAATAAGGCACAATTGGACTTGGCTCAATAATCACAGTGATTTGGGAACCTGTATTCAACTGTCATTCATCATTTACTATATTCCCTTAATATACTTTACAATTACTATTGCATATAGTGCACTATTCAGAGTACTAATGGTTTTGAGTTTATGTGGCATTTTTTTAGCAAAGAATTAAATTTCTTTTCTTTTCAGATTTTGAGATCTTATATATATAATTTGACAGATAGTTTCTTCTAAAAAAACTATATTTATTATTCTATTTTAATCAATTACCCAGAATCTACACAAAGGTCAGTCAATAAACCTATTATATATAGTCAATATACTTTAGTATACTTTAATTTAAAAAAATAAAATATAATGCATGTAATAAAACTTTATTTGTTCTCAAAAAATGAACTTTTTCTGTATAGAAGGAAATTGTATATAAACTTCAAGAGAGGGAATCACATGTTTAATAAACTTTTTTGACTTCAGAATCTTATGATTTAAAGAAAAAAATCAATATTTTATTTTTAATTCAAATAATTCTTTTGAAAAACTGCATGGGCAGTCAATAAACTTCAAGATGTTCATATGAAATCTTACTTCATTAAGGCTTAAAATGAGGTATGAACTATATAAAGGATCAGTCAATAGACTTCAGAATCATGTGTTTCAGTAATAAATATCTCCTTAAAAATCTAGATTTAAAATAATTTATTGTTTTTTTTTTTTTGGTATTAAGGTAACCTCTTTGGTTTTTTAACTTTTATTAATCACTTATCGGTATTGTGGTTCAATGAACCATTACAGAAGAGCATACAATTGGCTACATATATAACTTTTCTATATTACCTATTTAAGGAGTCTGCCTAAAGGTTCCCTATCAATTGCTGTATCTAACACCCCTATTTGGATGTTTCACTTTAAACCCTCTGAACCTGTAATCTGTATTAATATTACTGGTCATCTCAGATGTACCAGATCATTGTCCTCAACCTTAGAACTAATTTATCCTCAAAGTAAACCCCCCAGAGCCTTCTGTGCCTATATTTACAGCTGATCTAGGTATCGCTATGGCAGAACCAACACTTGTGGTTAGGGCTGACCATTAAACCACTATGCCCTTGTAGAGTTCACACAAACATCAGCATCTACTTCACAGTATATCCGAAATACTTTAGTATACCCCTGCTAGTTTACCAAATTCTCAATTCAGATATCTTAGTAGGACTTACGACCAGTCCATTGGTATATCAGGTCAGCCTGATATCCTGTTCCTTCAGCTTGATCTGGCAGCCTGGTTGGTGGTATCCCTCACCCTAGAGGTTTTTGCATATCCGGCTACTTCAACCTTGGTATCTGTTTCATAAGGCTAGCTTTTACAGTAGGGCCATCAATGATCTGGCTACCTCTCTACTTAGGTTTTCCCAAATGGACTTTTTGTTATACAATTTCAACAGATTTACACGGCCACATAGTGTTTGCATTGCTTATTGCCGGTTTGCATTCCTTCATATTGTTAACCTACAAAAATGACAAATAACTTTTGAACTACTGAACAAAATTCGATGAAACCACCACCATTCGAATCAGCTCACTGAGACAGTTCTAATGAGGTATAGATCATCCATTTCCGATCATAGGATCACAAGATCGAATCTGATAACCAAATTAATAAGAAAGCTGCAATCTGATTGGCTGATGATAACTGTGTGAAATATCATACATATAACATATATCAAATTTATGTGATTTGAAGCATCTATATTTTATATTATATTTAGTTTATAT